AAAAAAGTGATTTAAAGTCCAAATTCAATGCCAACGCTTTGCGGCGTCCGTACGATAGCGTCCATTCCTGGGGCGCAACCTATGGTCAACACAAGACATTCCTCGAGTTCACGAACGAACAGTTTGTCCATTTGAGAGATTACGCCAAAAATGAAGATATTTTATTCACCGCTTCGGCGATGGATGAAAAGTCATTGCAATTTTTGGCTCAAATGGATGTGCCGTTCATTAAGATTGGCAGCGGAGACGTCGATAATTATCCGATGCTTGAAATAGCGGCCAAATATGATAAGCCATTGTTTGTGTCCACAGGAATGCACGACTTGGATGTGGTTAAGACTGTCTATAACTTAATCACACCAATCAATCGTCGATTATGTCTTTTGCATTGTGTCTCCGCATATCCGACGCCATTGGAAGACATTAACCTTCGAGTGATCAGTGATTATCAAGAATTGTTTCCATCGGCTGTGATTGGATACAGTGGTCATGAGTTGGGCACTGAGATTAGTTTGGGAGCCGTCGCTCTCGGAGCCAAAGTATTGGAAAGACATTTGACGTTAGATAAGACAATGAAAGGTACGGATCATTCGGCGTCTTTAGAGCCGCCAGAGTTCGGCCAATTGGTGGCTCAGATGAGGGCCTTAGAGCGGGCCCTATCGGGTCATAAGCCAAAGTGCAGACAGGAATCCGAATGGAGTTGTTATCGAAAACTCGGCAAATCTATTGTCGCCAAACAATTCTTACCGAAAGGAACTGTTTTGACATTGGATTCAATAGATATCAAAGTCGCCGAACCGTTCGGTATTAACGCTCATAAAGTGTTTGAAATAATTGGCCGAACGCTTAATAAAGACATCGAATTCGACGAAAGCATACAATTTGACGATTTGTATTGAAAGACTATAAAAGTGAACGTTTGATCGCAACTTATTTTACACCGAAATACTCTTCTCATTAGACATTTATAGCAATTATCATACAATTTACTCATCAATTGTTTATAAACCATTATTTTATTATTATTTTACATAACTTAATATACATATTCTTTGTTTGCTATATAAACACCACTTTTAATGTTTAAATTTGACAATTTTTTAAAATCTTTTTTTGTTCGTTATTTATATAACAGAATATGAGATTTAGTAACAATTGTCTACACCTTTATGTCATGTGAGATAAAATATCTGATCGTATTTTACGACAATTATTATATAACTAATAATTAATTACATAAAAATTGGCAGTAATTATACTAACAGATCAGAGATTTTAGTGTCAAAAATCAATTTATGTCTACAAATACTGTATATTTAGGGAAAATAGTGTTTTAATTATAATTTCAGTAACAAATCAATGAGAATTTGTGGTAAAAACTAAATAACATAATACTNCAATGAATGAATACTTTTGTAGCTCTTGTTTCAGTGTTTGGTCTTCTTTAAAATCAAATGAATTGACATTTATTTCGTTGCATTCGATCTCATATTCTTCGCTGTCTATGAATTTGATGTCAATTTTACTGAATTGTCTGAAATCTGTTCCGCTTTTGATACAGAATTTGTCATTGATTTTGCGGATTTGATAGTCGTGGTCGTGTCCGCCCAGTATTAAGTCAATTTCGGCCACACCTTCGGCCAAAAGGCAGTCGTTAGGCCATCGCATGTGAGTCAATGCTATCACAAAATCGACGCTTTCCTACATTTAAACGGTTCAGGAATTAAGCAATTGTTTTGACAAATATTGTGCAAATGATTACCTTTTCTTTCAAATGTTTGGCCAGTTTTCGGCCTTCGGTGACAAAATCACGGTAAACGTAGCCTTCGTGTAAAGAGTCGGCCAACCACTGCTCCTCTACTAAACCTATTATTCCGAACTATATATACAGAAATCAAAGATAATTATCATTACTTTGATTCTTCGCTTTCATTGCCTATCAGTGAATACCCTTTTGTTGTGTCTGTCGATGATATGCCACACTTTGCCGTTACTAAAGGGACGGTTAGATCTATTATCATAAACATTGCTCATAAGCCACGGAAATGAAGTCCTTTTCATCCATGAATCGAGATGTTCGACACCGAAGTCTGTATTCATTAAACATATTCGTCAATGAAATAGCAATTAAGCAAATATTGGTTACGAGAAAAACAGACCGAATTCATGGTTCCCGAAGACGGCACAGTCCGGAGACAATGCGTTCAACACTGGAATCATTTGCTCTCCTTTTGTGAAAGTACTCACTATTGGGATCAAGAATTGAGATTTCAATTAGTAATTATGCTTTGATTGAGTGAATTATATGAATACTGACTGATCGATGGCGACATTATATCACCGCTGAACAGAACTAATGGATCGCAATCTCTGAATGAATTGAAAGCAGTGACCAGACGGGCGGCCCCTCCCGAGGGCTCATCGCTTCGGGAGTCGACATTATAGCAGTCATTGAAATGAAGAATCGATACAATTGACGGCCAATTAGTCTTAATTGAGTTATTATTTCTGTTGATTGTGTTATTGAATGTCTGGTCAAATGCAGGCATTTATTGGCGTTCAATAACGTTATACTCAATGAGATTTAATTTCAAACACTGCTAATGATTACTATCACTCTCTTCGGGACTTTAGTTCAATTTAAGTGACAATTTTTGTTGTATTTTATAAACGATTTAAATAATTGTTTTTAATTTTTCGTTAATTTGAGTGACAATTAAACTGATCGCGCGTTTATTTGATTACTTTTTTAAATTAGGTATCATTTGATGAATAGATATTGCGTTCATAGATATTGACAGTGAAATCGAGGGCTAAATATAAAACTTATTTATATATTAAATGGCATTCAAGCGAGTGATTCAGTGAATTCTTCGACATCTGAGCGCATATACATGTTATGGCAAAAACACCTATTCATTAGAAATGCTATTTTTCAGTCAACATATCTGTGCTCTAAGTCTAAGGCTGTGCTAAACTATGCCAAACATCTGCGCAATACGTGACACAATTATTACGCAAACGGCTGTCCATTGATTGCATAACTGATGGCTAATTGATTGCATGTAAAGGGTTTACACATTTGTAATCCAAACGCTTATCGATTTATCTTTAAATGTTTTTGTTATTCACTTATAAATACATTACTTTCTCATTAATTATTATGAATCGATTAAACATTTCATTAAATATTTCGAAATATGTATAAAATAATTTACATCTGTATATAGAAATTATAATTTATAAAATAAGTTTAACACTATTGGCATGTCTTGAGTATAGTTTAACTTAAATTATAAGTTATTTGTAAATCATTACAATTATTCTTCATTTCCATTGGCTTTCAATTGTTGTAAATAATGTCAATATTAGCAACAAATCCTTTGAATGTATTCACAAACTAGAAGTCGATGACTAGGAAGTTGTCCCAGAGATGTGGTCATCACAGCTGCTGTTGACTGCATATCAATAAGTAAATGAAACATCACTTTAGGATTTACTATAAGAAGTGACTATTAGTTTACCAGTTGTTTAACTGTTGGCAACTTTGTTCAAATGCCAATTGAAATTCACAATTCTTTGGATCTAATTGTGTGGCAATCTTAAAGTCTTCGTACGCTTTGGCAAAATTATCTAAATATTTGAATAACTAAATGATTTAGTCATTGATTTAACGATTGGTGTCTTTGATTGGATAACCAACTCATGCGGTAATGAATGGTCGCTCTGTTATAAAAAGCGATTCCAAGACTCGGATCCGATTGAATGGCTCGCGTGTAGTCATCGGCGGCTAAATTGAATTCAATGTCTTTGTAATATAGAAATCCTCTGTTGTTGTAGCGAATGGCCAATGATTTACATCTTAATTATCAATCAATGGTTAAAATGTAAATCAGTTTAAAAGTGATGCAAACAATTGGGAGACAAAACTTACAAACTGTTGATTTTGTGCTGATTTGGATCCGATTGTGACAATTGTCTCAACGAATCCAATTCATGAATGCATTCATCGATGGATTGACTCAATTGAGTGATACTTTCACTCATTTTAACCACAAATCAAATTAAAAATCATTGCAATTATTGACAAAAACTGAAAGCAAACAAACATTTAAATCACGTGTTCGTGACGTGTAGTCAAGGATTACGTAACCATTGGTTTGGGTTTTGATAGCGTTTTGAAGTGAAGGCAAAGTTTTTGTAATGTTTTAAATTAGTTTTATTTCAATTAAAAGACAATAAATTTTTTATTAAAAAATACCTGAAAAATAACATAAAAATATTTTTTTCAATAAATTCGTTGGAAAGCAAAGCAAAACTCATTTGAGGGGTATTTTTAGCTCAATTTAAGATTAGAGATCACTTTTAGGAACAATTGGATCGTTTAATTTGCTGAAGTATTTGAGCTTTTCATCGGGATCGGGGATAATGGTGGCGCCGCCGGGTTTCCAACCGGCCGGACACACCTCTCCGTGTTGGTCAGTGTATTGGAACGCCTGAACCAATCGCAGCGTTTCGTCCACCGATCGGCCGACCGGCAGATCATTCATCGTTATCTGTCGTAATACTCCTTTGGTGTCAATTATAAAGAGTCCTCTGATTTACAGATAAAACAACGACAATATTATAGCAATTGTTTGCCAATTAAGTGATCGAAACAAACCTCAGAGTGTGTCCCAAGTCTTCTAAATAGACGCCATAGTCTTGAATGAAATAAATGATTGTTTAGTTGATATAAATTGAAAACTCGTGGTGAGGATAATGCGGTCATACCTTTTGAGATCTGATGGGTTTGGTCTGAAAGGAGAGGAATGTTTAATGCGCCCAAACCTCCCTGTTTTCGGGGCGTTTTAAGCCTTCAGTTAAAGACAATTGTTAGCAACATATGGATAGCGAGACAATGGTGTGGAACTAATACCAGGCTAAGTGTGTGAAGGGTGAGTCCACCGACACTCCGACCACTTCCGTATTAATGGCTCTGAATTCGTGGACTCTATCGCTAAATGCCATGATTTCTGTCGGACAGACGAAAGTGCTGTTGAAAATGCAAATGCAATCAAACCATTAGTACGGATGAGACAATCGAAGAAAAAACTTTACAAAAAACAAGACATCAATTAATTGCTCACAAATCTAACGGATAGAAGAAGAAGACCAGATATTTGCCCCTAAACTGCGATAATTTCATTTCCTTGAACTCTCCGTTCACGACAGCCGTGCCCTCCCAGTCGGGCGCCAACTTTGATACTATCAATAAAACATACAATCAATACAATTAACACTTGCGCTCATACGTGACCACAACGAGTGGTGGACACATGGATGACATACTCTGTGTTTTACTCCAATGCAATCGGTGTCCACTGGATGTGGTTCTGGTCTCCTGTGGGTAGACGTGTCCGCCGGCGAACGAATGGCATTGGGAGGAGAGGTCCTGTTGTTGACCACTACTGGTCCCACACAGACAGAGGCCGACGACCACAACGACGGCTATCATAACATTCATAGCTCTCAATGAAAGGCACTGTTAATTGAGGTGTGAATTAGTGAACAAAAACACCGCTTAATAGACGTGTAATGAAAAGCAAACACTTTATCGCTTCTCTAATAGCGTTAATACTATGGAAACGAGTTTTTGGTCCCTTTTTATCGCATATTGTTATGCATTGAATGGCACTTTAGGTATGTTTTCATATCTTTTATGATTAAAGCATTGATTTTAAGTTAAATAACTTTTTGTTCCGAAAGCGGAGAACCTCCTGAAAGTTTGGGGGCATACCATATACTACTTTAGGAGTATTTTGGAAGATTTTTATTTCACCTTTTTAGCACCTTTTGGGACGTTAGCACCTTTAGTAACTTTTAAGTAACTTTTCGCCTATTTTGCAAATTTTATATGCCATTTATTGATAAATCACAAAATACTCATTGAGTGAAAATTGAAAACAGGTGTAATGTGATATTAAAATTTTTTAATAATAGTTCTGGTCATAATCGGCATTTCATTAAACGTTTTTCGACTCATAAACAGTTGTTAAACGGCAGACGAATGAGTTTCGAAACCGAAAACCTCTAAAAATACTTTGTAATACAATTTAATTTTGAAACAAATGTTATTGACCTTTGAATGTATTATTTTGATGCAAAATATATAAATGTTCATAACTTTTTATCACCTTTTTAGCAACTTTTAAGCACCTTTTTAGCCATTTTTAAGTAACTTTTATAGTGACTTTAAGACTGGTTTTTGTCACCTAAAAGTCAATGCTTTATTTATGATAATTCCGTAAATCCTTTTTTGTTTGAATTTTATGATAAAATACAACTATTCTTATCACAGAATTGAGTAAAACACACAAATTCTCGCAAAAATATCATCTCTTTATTTGATTTGAATAT